TCACGCAGGTGACTGAGCTGGGATTTAAGTTCAAGCCTATGCTCTAATATGCTGCTTAGACTCCCCAAAGGCCTTCAACTTGAGATTCTTACTATTATAGCTTCATCTTCTAATTCTAAATTTATACTTTTAAGTCTGCAAAACTACTGAATAATAAAAGAACCTAAAATTATTCTCAATTTACTTGCCAAAATGGGAGGTATTAGAGTATTAGAAAATTCTTCTAGCCTGGGCAATATTGTGAGATCCCACCTGTAAAAAACAAACAAACAAACAAACAACAAAAAAAAACTAGCCAGGCGTGGTGGTGCACTTGCCTGTAGTCCTGGCTACCTGGTAGGCTGAGGTGGGAGGATCACTTGAGCTCGTTAGGTACAGACATCTCTTTAGGTAATCATAACATTCCATACCTAAAATTGTTGTTAATTGTAATTAATGCTAATGGCAATGATAGCTAGCAATAAAAAACACAGAGTAATTACAATCAGCTCATTTTCTTATTGTCACCATGTGTCAGTCTCATAGAAAGGAAGGTAAAAGACAACTTCCTATTGTGAATCTTGATTGTTCATTAAATTTACAATATACACTTAGCGGAATGCCAAAAGATGTTCTGGTTTTAAAAGTTTATCCACCAGTCTTTTGATTGCATTTTATTTTATTTTATTTTTTATTTATTTATTTATTTTTGAGACGGAGTCTCCCTCTGTCTCCCAGGCTGGAGTGCAGTGGCGCAATCTCCACTCACTGCAAGCTCCGCCTCCCGGGTTCACGCCATTCTCCTGCCTCAGCCTCCCGTGTGGCTGGGACTACAGGCGCCCGCCACCGCGCCCGGCTAATTTTTGTATTTTTAGTAGAGACGGGGTTTCACCGTGTTAGTCAGGATGGTCTCGATCTCCTGACCTCGTGATCCGCCCATCTCGGCCTCCCAAAGTGCTGGGATTACAGGCGTGAGCCACCGCGCCCGGCCTTGATTGCAATTTAGAAGTGCATATTTGTTTTTTAAGGGTCTAAATCCGATGAAGATCGTAGGGCCCACAAGGAGATGGCTTTACTGATACATTTGTGTGCTGTCTTAGAATTATCTATAATGTATATAAGAGGATAACTTTTCACCACTCCACTGAATGCCATAGAGTTCCAGTGGAAAATGGATTTATTTTATGAGTAATAACTTCAATCTAAACCTATATAATCTAGACATCCAACAACATCTCATTGTCTGCTGGAGACTTAATTGCATGCCCATTAATCTTAAATAATTGACATTAATATCTAGTTGTTCTTTATTCATATTCTCACTGCAATTTAGTCAACAGAGATTATTTTCCTTGTGTCCAGTCCTAAAAAGACTAGATTTCCATACTTCAGAAGCAGAAAGGGTGAGATTTGATCATTAAGGCTCCTTCCAACATTAAAATATCCATAATTGACTGCCTTCCTAAAATCTGACTGATATATCATTCATTAAGTCATTTATTGGACAACTCTTTTACAGAACACCAGCTATAAGACTGAAGAAAAACCACATAGGCCCATTAATTCTAGGAGGTTAATATATAAAAGGTGAGCTCAATGTTTACAAAAATGTGACTTAACAGATACAAAGAATAGGAAATAAAGCTTGTCAGTATAACGGAGGTAGTGATTTGTGAGTACCAACTTAAAAAAAAAAAAACAAAAAAACCTTTGCGGGCGCAGTGGTGAATGCCTGTAGTCCTAGCTACTTGGCAGGCTGAGGCAGGATTGCTTGGGCTCAGGAGTTGGAGGTCAGCCTGGGCAACACAGGAAAAAAAAAAATTGCTAAGAGGAGAGAATACTTATGTTAAGTGTTCTTATCACAAAAAATAACATAAACAGAGCCGGAGGAAACTTAAAAAAAATATTCAGCGTAACTATTAATAAATGAAATGAGAAATCATGGGAACCTAACACTTTTGTACTGATCACCACCTCCCATCATTTAGTAAAGGATTATAAGGCAAAACTGACAAAGGGGAAGAGGAATAAGGGCTGGTGGAGTTAAATTGTAGGTAAATTACCCAAATAGAGCCATCTGGGTCATTAGCTGTTAGTGCTGCCTCAATTTGCCTGAAATGATTATATGACAGGGAGGCTGAAAATAATTTGAAGATAACTCAGAGCAAAGAGAGCACAAGGCTTTTTGGCCATTCTTGCTTGAAAGGGTCCAGGGTATCTCAAATTTCAATGTTCCTTGCCTTCCAAGTCTCACCTAGACCTTTAGCTCCTGCAAATGGGAATGAGAAAGGGTTGTGGTATGGGACAATGATGTGAGCATAAAGCCTATCTAGCTAGGATTACAAGAACAAAAGATGGCTAAAAGGAAAAAACAAAACAAAAGGTAAAGTCCTGAAAACCTATGTGTATAAAAATCAATCCAAATGATCTAAATTTATACAACCATGAAGCTTTATCCTCTACATACCCAAATGTTGAACCAATCCCCACCATCTCCTTTTCCCACAAAATACACAATACTATACAATTCCTATTATAGGGACCGATAGGAAGAAACACATAGTTGAAAACACCTAGTTAAAAGGATTTTGGATTCAAATTTATCACAGTACCAATTTTCCTAAACATGTTTTGATAAAGGCCATCGGAACACTTGTCACACTGTTCAAATGCCCAATGGTAAGACTTCTGATGAGACCAAACAGGTCACATTAAATCAATAGAATATCTTAGAAATAAAGCCAATATGACTAAATCCAAAATATATCACATGAAGTACCTCATGTACAATACAAACCTAGTTTAATAAATAAAAGAAACATAGGTGACTGCGCTCTGGGAGAACATCCAGCTCCTGATGGCCTCTTCACAGTCTTCTCTGAGACTCCACTGCCACTTCCACTCGGGCAAGCCTAATGGTGCGGACATGAAGTTTGTAGCCATCTTGTCTTACTAATGCCACGGTGCCAGGCTGCACCCCAACACCAGCTGGCACATGACAGATGAGTTCATGCTCACGGGGGTCATATTTGTCACCAATGGGTGTCAGCTTCTCCAGGCCATGCTTGGCAAACACACTTTTCAGCTTTGCTTCTAAAAGCAACAGCCCTCGGAAGACCTTCTCCAGAGTGAGCTTTTGGTTCTCAGGCTCTGATTCTTCAGAAATGCACTCTGTAGTCTTCTCCAAAATGTCAGCCACCTCCACCAAGTCCTTACAGAAACTCTGAATTCCAAATATCTTGGCGTCTTCCACACATCTCTGGGTTCGCCTCCTTATGTTTTCACAATCAGCTACAGCTCTCTGGTATCTCAATGTTAAATCCTAGACTTCTTTCTCCAGTTTAATAGCTTTTACCCTTAAGGTTCGTTCAGCAAGAGAGGGCCCAAGCTCCTCAGGTGGGTCCTCAGAACGGCAGTCCTCACCAGCAGTTCTTTGGGTGGCAGTGCTGAATGGAAGTGGCCATCCCTTGCTCTCCCATGCGGCAGTCGAGGCCAGCAGGCGCTGCACCCGCAGCCGGCCCGCCCACAGCGACCTTACGGCCATATTCCTGACTTGGGCTGCTCTTTTCTATCATGAAATAATAGTCCATCCATTGTGCCACACTTTGCATTAAATATATCCGTTCACCTACAGAAGTACATCTTGGTTGTTTATGTTTTCGCAAATCCAAATAAAACTGCTATAAACATTGATGTGCAGGTTTTTGTGTGGACATGGGTTTTCAACTCATTTGAGTATATATCAAGATCACAGTTGCTGGAGTTTCCCTTTATATTTTTACTCCACATTTTGGAGATGCCCTTCAGGTTTTATATCAATTGTTCTAAGTTTTTCTTTCTACTCTCATAATTTTAATTTCAAGAGACTTCTATAGAGTTATCCTTTTGTACAGCATCCTTTCTCTCCCTTTCTAAAAAAAGCTTTTTAAAAATCCCTGTTTCTCAGATTAGACACTAACTTCAGTGTCTAATGATGCCTAGTGATCTTTGATTGCTGGTCCATAATTATAATTAAGCCCTGAAAAATAGCTGGAAACTAAGACCATTAGTCCAATTTATTGACTCTGGGAACCATTTTAGAATGGCCTGCCTGTGTCATTTACTATCAGACTCTTACATGTCAAAATGTCCAACTTATCCCTCTTAGGATAGTAAAATTCCTTGTAAAGAAGGGTCATTCAATCTTTTCTGCCTAGATGACATCAAACTGACTTTCTGAATTCAGAGAAAATTCTTAACAGAGGTCAGAGGAAGTTCCTTTTGAATTTCAAACTTAATAAGTAACACTATTCCAAGTTATAAAATTAAATTACAAATAAATTATACACATTAATTTACAAATAAATTATACATTTTATAAATAATTTTTATTATAAATAATAAATTTTATAAATAAATAAATTTATTTATAAACAGAGACAATATATTACACCCCACCTATGAATAAGGATCTGCATCTTCATACTCAATGGCCCATAAAATTAGTCAGAAAAAGGAAAGGTGAAAAGATCCACACTTTCAGAATCCCAAGATGAGCAGGGCAAGTTGAGTCTCCGTGAGGTCCATGAAGCTAGAACGAAACTGGGGTCGGGGAGTAGTGTTCACTTTCAGTCTTGGCCACAAAAGCAAACAAAACAGCTATTCTGAGGAAATATTTTAATTTAGACAGCATGAGCAAAATAACTGGATTGATATCTTCCTCTCCATTTTTTTCCTCTTTCGAATTCCAGTGTTAATCAATTCTCCTGAGCATTTTCAACAAAGTACCCGCAAATTTCCAGAACATGGATTGAGAAAAACTTTGAGATTCCAGCCTTAATGACTGCTCCTCGTGGTCTCTCTCTCCAGTTAGACGAACCTGGGCTAGCAATATTCCCAAGAGTCAACAGTCAGCCCTGGTGCTATATACTTCCATGGGAATTCCATACTTTCTCAAAACGCGTCATCATGGTAAATAATTAAGTACTTGTAATATTAAGTTCTGTAGAAATGAAACCATGTTTTTCCATCACTGCCTCCATAGCTTTCGGCACTGAAGGTGACATGCCGTGCTCATTGGCTATGCATCCGTTGAAGGAATAAAGGAATGAACTCTGACCCGGGAAAGCAGGAGAGGCAGGAGTGTGACACCTTAACAGTCGACTGCAGTGGGAGCGGCGGCACCAGCAGCACTTGGGGAGACTTACTTTCCAGTGTGGCGGGAGTAGTAAACACTAGGAGTCAGAGAGTGATGACCGAAGCTGGAGTTAAAAGTGGAAATTAAAATTCTCCTTCCTATAAGAGGAAGATAATCGGTTAACTGCAGCTCACGTTTCCCCTCCAGCACTCGGCCAAACACGCACACGGAAGCGCGCACGAGCTGCCCACGGCATTTCTTTCGGGGTTTGAGAAGAGATGGACAGAGGTGGGAGAGCGCCGCTGCAGCCGCATCAACATTCCGGTGTCTGCCCTTAGAGGAGGTCCGGAATTCAGTACTTGCCTGCTTCGAAGACAATTCTACTGTTCATGTGGTGAAAGTACATAGTTTTGGGTATGAATATTTGGGGGAAATACTTTAAAAATCCTTAAAGCTTATTGGGCGAAAATGAAGTGGGCTCGTCCGGGATTTGAACCCGGGACCTCTCGCACCCGAAGCGAGAATCATACCCCTAGACCAACGAGCCACTTAGAAGCGGCTTTTTCCCATATTTACTGTAGGATTTATTCCCAAATTATTTATTTTTATTCTTCAAAGGATTTGTTACCAAATAATATTTATCACTCCATCAATCATTTACTTAAATGAAAGGGTTGGAAAGGCTATTTCTGTGGATGGTCTGCTGGTAGCTTAAATTACCATACCAAACTACCGTACAAGCTGGTAGCTTTAATTACAAATTAAAACTTGTAACCTGTAGAAACATTTCTCCTTTATTCTACTTTGCTATACTACTCTAAGTAATTTAACTCATTTTTTCCCATTTTTAGCTTTCAATTAAAATATGTTAGAAAAATTTGAGTTTTCAAGTTTCCTTATCTCACTTGCACCCTTTTTGAAAGTTGGATATTACTGTTACTGAGGGACTTCTAGATTATTTGCTCTAACAAGGAATATTTTCGCTACCAGAAATTTTTCAGAAAGAATATTCCTAATCTCAGCAAAATTCTACTTATAAGAGATTTCTTAACGTCAGCTTTTCAGAGGTACCAAGATGTATTTGGTTAGTTTACTAACTTCCTCCTACATACAAATTTAAGAAAGTTACAAAAACTTTTGGTTAAATGCAAAGAAAGTTTTTACAACAGATCATTAGCTGATACATCTAAGTCGCATTTCATATTCATGTTAAGATTTATGTTTTAAATTAATGCATATTTTCAATTTCATTTTGCTGTCCGGAATTTGATGCCTTCAAAAATTTAAAAGCTAGTTCTCATTCAGTTCATTCTTTCAATTATCCAATAATTATTACAGAGTACCTGTTTATTTATTTACTAAAAATGAAACTCTCTTGCAAGGACAAATCAAAACAAGGATTATCTTGAATATGTGTGAAGAGAAATCAATCTTTTCTGAAAGGGAGAGTAGATTTAAACTAGTACTTAATTTGAATTTTGACATGGATTTACTGAGTGGATCAAAATAATTATGAGACTACTAGGCATTCCTCTAACTTCTGCCCACCTTACTAATGTTAGAATAGTGAGATTCTTTTGCAATCCAACTGCTTTCTTTGTACTATGAAAGCCTAAAAAATCTTGACTAATCCCTCTGAAACGCACACATAGGAGTAGTAATCATTCCTAACTGCCCTAATACTTAGAAGTGACTATGGTTCAGACTCAACATTCCACTTCCATGAAAATATGTTTTTCTCCTCAAGAAATAGCATCTCTTGTTCATGCATAGATGGAGCTGGGACTTAGGACTATACTGAGATGTTAAATCAAAGGTTAAATATTTCAGCGTGGAAAATAATTATTCATTCTGAACCCAACAATTTCCCAGATAACCTGTTCTTTGACACACAACTTAGAGCACTTCTCTTCATCTTGAAGTCAACTGAATAGGTTAGTTTACTAATTTCTGAACTCAGCACAATGGTCTTGGGATCACATACTTTATATACAGACCCACACTCTCAACCCCAAACCCTCGTTCTCTCTTCAGTTTCATAGTATAATATACATTTCCCTTCCCAAATCCAACTTTTCTAAGGATAATAAATAGTTCATTTACTTTTATACCAGTGGGAACTCAGATTCCAAAGAAAGGTCATTATTTAAAGATTACTAAACATCAGCGTCATTACACACATCAGGGGACCCACGTAGGACTTATATTCCAGTCATTTTACAGAGATGTTTACTGTCCTTTTCTAGGCCATGTAGATCATGCATAATAACATGCTTAGTTACATTAGCAAATATGAATATATTCATAAACTCAAATTTCTTGGAAAATAGAAAATGTGGCTTGAAGATACAGATACCAAAGACAACTTAGAACAATGGATATAAAATTTCCCGACAAATGACAAGATTCATTCACCAAATTTCTATATACATATACACACATACACATAAACCTACACACATATATACATATATCAAATAACTCAGCAATTTCTCTGTTGGATATATACCCCCCAAAAAATAAAATTAGCAAGTGGTAGAGGTATTTGCATTTCCATGTTCCTCAATAGATGAATGGAGAAAGAAATTGTGGGGGATGTGTGTGAGTGTGCGCACGCACAGGCGTGTGCATAATAATGTGTATATATAATATATATATTATACGTCTGAGGGCAGTGGCTAACGCCTGTAATCCCAGCACTTTGGGAGGCCGAGGTGGGCGGATCACTTGAGGTCAGGAATTCAAGACCAGCCTGGCCAATATGGCAAAACCCTGTCTTTACTAAAAACCCCGTCTCTCACAAAAATTAGCCGGGCATGGTAGCACATGCCTGTAAATCCAGCTACTCAGGAGGCCGAGGCAGGAGAATTGCTTGAACCGTGGGGGAGGAGGTCGCAGTGAGCCAAGATTGCACCACTGCATTCTATCCTGGGTGACAGAGTAAGACTCCATCTCAAAAAAAAAAATTTTAAAAATTACAATATATATTATAGTGTTTGTGTGTGTGTGTGTGTGTGTGTGTGTGTGTGTGTATAGTGGTATAATGTGCTATGAGTATATATAACGAAATATTATCCAGCCTTAAAAAAGGAGGTACTGCCATTTGCAACAACATGGATGAAACTGGAGGACATTATGCTAAGCTAAATAAGCCAGGCACAGAAAACAAAATACTACATGATCTTACTTATATATGCAATCTAAAAAACAAAAACAAACAAAAATCTCAAATACACAGAAACAGAGTACAGAGGTAATTATCCGGAGTGGAAGAGTAGAGGAGGAAATGAAGAGATAGAGGCCAAAGGGTACACAGCTGTAGATATCTGGGATGAGTAAGTATACCGATCTAATGTACAACATGAGGACAATAGTGATAGTATTGTATTATGGTGGAAATTCTCTAAGAGTGGATTTTGGATAATTTTAACACACACACACACACAAAGGATAACTGTGAGATGATGAATATGTTAATTTGCTTGACTATAGTAACCGTTTCACTATGTATATCAAAAATTATTTTATACGTCTTAAATAGATGCAATACAAAGTTTAATTAAAAATAGACGTTTATATCAGTATAAGAGCTCCTGAAACAGAGTTGCATCACAATCACAAATCATTATTACTGTGTCTGTTTTATGACTCTGAAGTCTCTATATTCCACTAAAACCAAATACTGAATCCCTCAAAGATACGACACTTTAAAAAATCTCCTCTTAGAAGCCCATCTTTTTAGTCAAGCAGTGTAAACTGCCTCCCAAATCTTTATAGTTTGGGAGGTTCTCTACTTGCTGAAGTTTTCATAAGGTTTCTCTTCAGGTGACATTTCTATTCACTTGAATTTTTATTCAGGTGAGAGAGGACTAAGGAAATGGGCCAATCCAGGATCTTTATTGTAAGTCTGGCCACAGGCCTCCAACCAATTGACTGACAGCTGGAAGTTGAACAATATTGCTCGATAGAGAATATTGATAAAGATGGTCATGATGATGATTGTGGTGAGATGATGGTGATGATGGTCATGGTGGTGGGGTGATGATGATGATGATGACAATATGAAAGACAAATGTAAAGTAAAATACACACTTGGCAGGAATGTGGCTCACACAATTGCATTGATTCTTCCAGCTGAATCACCAACAGTAGTGTGCCTGTCATGAAGTTTTCATGAACTAATGAAGTGCCAGAAAATGGAATTATTATGAACATAAATCACAAAGTGATTGGTAATACAGAATTAAAGCATATGTAATTGCAGGGTACAAGAGGCAGATTTTTTTTTTTTTTTTTTAGACAGAGTCTCACTCTTTTTGCCCAGCCTGGAGTGCACTGGCATGATCTGGGCTCACTGCAATCTCCACCTCCTAGGTACAAGTGATTCTCCTGCCTCAGCCTCCCGAGTAGCTGGGATTACAGGCACCTGCCACCACTCCTGGCTAATGTTTTTGTATTTATAGTAGAGACGGGGTTTCACCATGTTTGACCAGGCTGGTCTTGAACTCCCAACCTCAGGTGATCCACCCACCTTGGCCTCCCAAAGTGCTGGGATTACAAGTGTTAGCCATCTTGCCCGGCCCACAAGAGGCAGATTTTAAAGGAAATCATTCTTTTAGGACACTGTCTTCATTGTAGCCTATCCAAAATGTCAAGCAACATAGCAAATGTTTGCTAATAGAGTACACAATTATAAGAATCAAAAGTCTTTTGTTTTCTCATACTTAGTATCTACTATGTACTATTTTAAAGGCACCTACCTTTTTCTTCTCACAATAGCCCTAAAAACAGATAATGCTGTTATTCTATATTCCATTTCAGAGATAAAGACACCGAACCACAAACAGATACAGCACACTGACCAACCAAGGCAGAGCTACAATTAAAAAACCAAGAAGACGACAAGTGGAATTTGCCTTTCTATCCCTTCCTCAAAATCTCCATCAGCTTTTCTGAGGCATTATAAATAAAACTAAAATCTAAGTTAACCAGTGTGATTAATAGGCAGACACAACTTCAAAGTAAGTTCTCTGGACTCCTCCAGTAATATTTTGCCAATTCAAGTTTCTCATTTTTGCGGGGTGAGTGTGTGTGAGTGTGCATGTCTTGAAATATTTTCATGAAAAAATGATAATCGAGGTCAGAAATTCATGCTCTTTGACACAATGTATCAATAGGATATAAAAAAATGACAAGTTACACTTTGGCCACTTGATTGACAGGACTTTATTACACCCCATATGTGGCTGGGATAGGGCTGAAGAAAGTTCTTTTTATGAAAGCTGCTATTTTGCTCATGATAAGCTCCTCTGAGCTTTGCCTCAGCAGTAGTATGGAAGTGGGAATGACAGACTCAGGCAGGGTGGTGGAATCACCAAGGTCTTTGAATTTTGAGCTTATTCAAGGATCCCAAGGTCATAACAAGATCTTGCATTTCATCCATATAACAACATGCACCAAAACACTTTCGTTCAACAAATCTGGAATGTATATTTTAGTAGTATAAAATCGGTAATGTGTATATTAAAGGCTGATGTTCTGTGTGTGATCAGAGGATGTCAAAAATCATCTTCAAAAGAACAAAAAAGGACTTAGGTAGCAGGTCAAAATCCTTTTATCTTTTAGTTGAAAGATATTTTACAGTTTGCATAGCTTGGTCAAGAGTATATCTGCATTTTAAACAGAGAATTTTGTGTTCAAGTCCCGAGTTAGTGAAAGCAGGCACCCAAATTACAACCTTGAAATGCTTCCATCACTGAATGAATCATGAATTCTTTGAGACTGGTAATAACTACAACCGGAGAAAACTCTAAGGCAATGGTTTCCTTTCATCCTCTCTCTCACTCTGTATTTCTTGATTTTTTTTTTTTTTTTTTTTTTTTTTTTTGAGACAATCTCGCTCCGTTGCTCAGGCTGGAGTGGAGTGGCGTGATCTCAGCTCACTGCAACCTCTGCCTCCCAGGTTCAAGCGATTCTCCTGCCTCGGTCTCTCAAGTAGCTGGCATTATAGGCACCCACCACTACGCCTGACTAATTTTTGTATTTTTGGTAGAGATGGGGTTTCACCATGTTGGCCAGATGGTCTTGATCTCCTGACCTCGTGATCTGCCTGCCTTGGCCTCCCAAAGTGCTGAGATTACAGGCATGGGCCACTGTGCCCAGAGTTTTCTTGATTTTTTATTTTGCTTATCCTTCAAGAAATAAATGTAGTTTTCCTTTATCTCCAATATGCTGTGTTATAAATTCCAGAAGACTGTGATAGAAATTGAGAAGTAAAAAGGGAAAATCCCACCTACGAAATGCACATTAAGGATATCTTCAGGACTTAAAATACTTGAAAAAAAGAATTGAGTCATACATTAATGAACCTGACATCGCAAACTTGTGTTCTCTACCTTACTTAGAAGTTCCAACCTCTTTATCTACATTAATTTCTGGTTTTCAGAGTTTCATATGCCTTTTGCTTTCCGCACTATTTCACCTTTCATGCATTATGATCTTCTTATGCATCCATTTTGAGCAAAAGGGGAGAAAATGAATGGTGGTTTGTTATGATGGTTCCATCAGTTTAATCAGTTATTAAATATTGATTATAGAAGCTTCCATGGACCAGTTAAATATTTCTTGCCAATCGTTCCCAAGCTGCTCATTGCTCCTACTTAAAATTTTCATTCACTTTCAATACAGTACACTTATTTCAATTTATTGTCCAATACTATTTCCTCTCTTCTGGTTTCCTTTGCTTTCATTTCCTTATACTTGATATAATGAGCACTATAATCAGGAATCACTTTTTCTCACTTATTTCTTACAGTTTGTTTAGTAATCAGATGTTCATTTACTTATACATTTATTCGAAAATTGTTAACTTTTACTTTAGTTTATTTGGTCAAGAAAAAAAGACCAAATAAAAACAAGTTAGCAAGAACTCAGTAAGACTGAACATGTGTTCTTTTGAAATGTCTCTTAAGTCTCTTGTTATCTATAGTTTTCATTTCACTTCTATTTTATCAAGTATTTTTCCAAATGGCTTGATGAGATACCTTACTGCCAGAACTATACATTCCATCCAAATATGTATTTTGGTTCCAGTTTAAGAAAAAATGAAACCAAGTTCTTCATTTAAATTAATGAGAATGAGATTATTTTTTAACTCTGATAATAGAGAGACTAGACTGATAACATTGTGGGAGTGCCAGGGCACTAAAAAATGATGTCTAGAAACAAGTCATAAATTGTTATCTAACTTAATTTATTTATATACTTTGAAGAGAGATACTCTTACATGTTTAACAAATCAGAAAACAGAGAAATATATAAAATAAAATTCGATTTACTATGCCTCCATTTGCTTAGCTTCTCTTCAATCGGGAGTAATTCTTACAGCTTTTTTTTATTCTTGCAGAAGTTTATGATGTAGATAATTCCAAATTAATTATATTATTATATTGCTTTTTGAATGCTACAGCTTTCACATTGCTTTTGTTTCAATTAAAAAAAAAACCCTTGAGTATCATTCCATGTCAATATATTTTGAACTCATCCACTTCTTCATAAGTACCATAAAATCTCTTTGTTTGAATGAATATGTATCAATATTTTTAAATAGCTCCTTTTGCTAGATATTTTGTTGTATTTTAAAAATAATGTATCATAATGTGTATTTTTCCTACTTTAATTCTTAAATGCTCAAGTATATCTGAAGGATTAGGTCCCAGACATGGAATTCCTGAGTCAAAATGCGAATGCGCCAGTAATTTTGATAGATTTTACCAGATTGTTCTACTATTTTTTACTCCTGGAAGCCTGGTGGTAAAAGAGCCATCATAAATACACAGAATTTTAGTTACTTTTTGAAGGGTGGAAGGATAGAGAATAAGAAGAGAGCTGAGTCTCTCTAGGATTTCTATGATCTCTTGCATTAGATCGGAGCTGCTGGTCACCAGATTTGTTGTATGAGAATTTATCCTTATATGTTTAAGCAATTCTTTTTGATTTTTAAAAATACACAGCATAGCAAAACTAGCAAGTTTATTTAAAACTTGCTTACTGAAGAGATCAAAAAACAGACATTTTCTGAAGTCTTACTGAACATGCCAACATTCAGCCGCACGTCTATCTCTGTGAATCAGCACAAATGGGCTGAGAGTTGCATAACCAAGGGCTAAACATTCTTGAATATTTGATATTATGAAATTATTCTCTAAGGATAAAATTAAATATAAAGAAATAATGTAATCTGTCCAATAAAAGAAAACAAAACAGATCATCAGAAGGAGAGCACTTTGAGCAGCTCTTAGGGGGAGTTTTGTACAGAAATTTGGAGTTCCGAATGTGGAGAACATGCTTGTGATGCTGGTGAAGAAGAAATACCATGTAGCTGCTGGCCCAGCCCGTGAGACCCTGAAACAGAGCATCTTGCAACACTATCAGTGTGAGAAAAATCCATCTTATTACCCATCTCCCTGCTAGAAAATAACAGTAGTTATCATTTTCACTAATTTGTGATCTGTTCATGTTGCTATTTGTGATGGAATGAAGTAAGTTCATGGTTATCAAGAAATTGAATGTCCAAAAAAAGAGAAACAAGGGAAGGACATGCCATGCAGACCTCAACTTGAGCCTCCCCCACACTGAGGCTCTGGGACTGATGGTGATGACCTGGACCACGGTGAGGAGACTGCTGGTGCAGATGGAAAGGCCTCAAGCCACCCTCTCCAGATAAGCAACAATTTTACAGCCTATATCATCTAGGAAGTTTCTCAAACCAAAAGCTGCTATTGTCTTGGGCATTCCTTTGGAAAACAGAAGTATGATATTTGTAAAAGCTAAATGGATATGAATAAAGTGTAAAGATTTCTTCTCAGTGCCCCAAAAGAAAATGTACATATAGTTTACAAAAACAAAAACATTCCCCACAATGCCAAGTTCAGTTAGAAACAGGAATATTGTTCCCTTCATAATGTTCAAAACCATTTCTAACTTCATGGGCAGAAAATGTTTAGATCCAGGAAACACTGTATGAATAAAGTACCAGTTATGATGATATATATGTATCTGCAAAAAAAAAAATCATATCATAGCATATTTCTAGTGGATAAAGGACAGTCATAATATATGTAACAGAGCAGATTTCTGTCCAAAGAAATGTAATCCTTTCCCTGTGACACTCTTTGATGAACATTCCATGTGACCTTAAATGTCATCTTGGAAGAGGATACGAAAATCTAAATTTGGGAAACAGATTTTGTTTGCCTGATCTCCATAGCTGCAAGACCAACTTGCTTGTTCAAATTCTGATATAGCTCACATATTTTAAATCTCAGCATATGCTGAATTGAACTAAAAAAATTCCCCCAACCTGAGTGTCTGCATTTTCTATTTAATTCTTCATATTCCTATCAGCCAATTTCAAAAACCTGATGCTCACCCGTAACCCCTCTACCTCCTCCGCATTCAACAGACAAACACTCATAAAATCCTGTTGCTTCAATGTCTTTAACATTTCTCAAGTTTAACAATGTTTTATCTTCTGTGATACTTCTTTTATTCATTATGCCTATATATCTATCATTTTGATTAGTATAACAATTTCTGATTTATCTCTTCTTTCTAATTTTCATATCTTTGATTCATATTCCTTAATATTTCAGAGCTGTCTTTCAAGACCCCAAACTGAATCTGTGATTTCAGTAGTTACAAGTTTTCAGTGGGTTTTCCAAGTACTCAACATCAAGTCAAACTGCATAGCATTTCACTGTAGGACCTCAACTGTTAATGGTTAATCAGCCAAAGACCTTCAGAAACAAGCCTGTGGGCTGAAAAACAATGAGGTACATGTACTGGATGTAGCCAGAGAAGGTGCTCTAGAGGAACCATGGAATGTCACTCTACGAGGGCATTTAGGAGAGGTCTGAGTTCCTACTGATGGATCTGAGGGACCTCTAAGGGGAGTTGTTGATGTGTTGATTAGGGAGATTAGGAGAGGTAGATTAATTAGGTGTTGCATACTGTCCTGAGATGAAGACAGTTTATAAATTAGAGATCTCTGATGTCTGGATATACAAAGCAGGTTGGGGCCACATTGGTAAGAAAAGAGTCATTGGCCGGGAGCGGTGGCTCAAGCCTGTAATCCCAGCACTTTGAGAGGCCGACACAGGCGGATCACGAGGTCAGGAGATCGAGACCATCCTGGCTAACACGGTGAAACCCCATCTCTACTAAAAAATACAAAAAAAACTAGCCGGGCGAGGTGGCGGGCGCCTGTAATCCCAGCTACCCGGGAGGCTGAGGCAGGAGAATGCCGTAAACCCGGGAGGCGGAGCTTGCAGTGAGCCGAGATCTGGCCACTGTACTCCAGCCTGGGCTACAGAGCAAGACTCTGTCTCAAAAAAAAAAAAAAAAAAAAAAAAAAAAAAAAAAAAAAGAGTCATTACTCAAAAGGTGCAATTATGGCATTTTACAGCTGCTGTGTAACCAATGTGTCCAGTTGACTCTGTAACCAGATCTACCTGTGTCTATTCTCTCAACGTTGGTAACAGGAGGGCTACTTTGATCTTTACCACTCCAAGCTGATTTTTACCTTTTTAGGTCTGAACAGTATTTTACTCTTTCACAATTAACCTCTCCAATCTCACTTCTTATCTAGAACTTACATCAAACTACAAATAAATCCCCCAAAACAAAATAAACCAGGATGTTTGATCTAACCAGGATTGACCTCTATCTGTATATTTGGAATGCCTTTCTACAAGCCTTGTCCCCTTTCATTTTCTACCAATCACTAAGAGATGCATTAGATTTATCTTAATTTGTCTTAAAGGTCTCTGGCAGCATGAGAACTGCCTGAATTTAGGCTTGTATTCAGGTCTTGTGCCAGGAAACTTTATAACTTTTGGAATATTAGTTATTGCCTTTCTGCCTTAGTTTCCTCCGGTGCCAAATGAAGAGATTAACATCTATACCAATGCATTAAACAAAGCATTACATGATCTGAACTGGATAGCCCATAGTGAAATGAACTACAGGCTTTAATAACAAGAAGAGCAGTATGAACTAATAGGTTCGGAGTAAGAACTGGTTACATATTTAGCCAGAAACCTGGAATTTGTCAAAAATGAAGGTCCTGCATACACTTCACCACCCATTATGTCCTTATCCAGTATTTTATGTTTGTTTCTTCTTATCTTTTTCTAAGGTTTCACAGTTTTCTGGCCCTCTCTTCATCTTCCCAAGGTTCCAAAGCTCTGATTCAGATTAGAGACTAGCTTCTGTGATACTAGTAAGACATTTCCATTTTTTTTTTTTACTGAATAATAAGAAAAATATCAGAGAAGGGAAGGGTGACTGGTCTTCCAAATTGTTTTTGGAATCATGATTGAAAACTATTTAAAAAAAACATGCTTCACATTCAGATAGATGTGTAGTGCTCCATCCAAGTCTAATACCTAATAGCTTAGGCAGGTAAGGAAGTGCACCCATTTTAGCTCCAGTTTTCTCAAATAAAAATGAGATTAGTGCTCCCTGCTACATAATGCCAAGGTAAATTTATAAGGTTACCTCAGGTTATACTTACTTATAGCCTGGTGAAAAATAAAAGTGGAAAATTTCTGAAGAGCAAGTATAATTTTTAATCATAATGGTTGTTAACAGATGCTCCCATTAAACTGGCATATGGTTAATGAAGTTGACTTACGTGTGTGGTACAATATTACAAATTGGATTAGGAGACTTTAAGGATGGATGCAGAAAGAAAACCTTCAAGATACACACACACACGGACACACACACACACTCCCTCTCTCTATCTCTCTCTTAATGAATTAACAACTTAATAGGTAAATACAAAGTTGGCCCACTTGCAAAACACAGAAATGCACCAAAAGTGATATGAAGAGATTTTATGAAAGCTAATAATGCTGATAGACGTATAATGCAGGTGAAAATGGAAGCTTAAAAAAAGAGTTTTTCCTAGAAACCTGAAAAGCTTTTTTATCTTTCTGATTTTTGGATGAAACCAAAGAGGGAACCTTATAGGAAGACCCACCCCAGACCTCTCTTATGGTACAAGATCCTGAACACAGGGATAAAGATGCTCAAGCATTTCTAGGGTCATCTCCTGGAACTGGTCCCCTTCATATTTATGACCCCAGGTAAAGATTACATGCAGAATCAAGGTCCTCAGGCTCACATAAACTCCCTTGCTTAGTCAAAGAACAAAGCAAGATGTATACTTCAGAGGGAAATTTTATATGGCATATGTGAATAAATAAAAGAACTGTCAGGTCTACTCACCTTGGTAGCTATAGTGTAGTAAAGCTCTGGTTTAGTCCTTCTGGCAAGGTAAGGCTCCCCAAGCCATATTTGTGCCTTCTGGATTTGTACAGTTCTTGGATAACAAACTATTACCAGGACTCAAATTCTCAAATTGTTGTCCTGTCAGGAAGATGGAAACCCTCTGCAGAATCCTAGTCCCTGAAGTACATTTTCCCCTCTCTCTCCACAATTACGTTTGTTTGCCTCAGGAGTTATTTCAATCTTAATTGGGGTTTAACTATTGTAATAGAAAGATGTACAGTGAAAAAGTAAACAACTAGCCAAGTTTCTGTATCTAGGGTTTCCCATTTTTCTGGCCCTCTCTTCATCTTCCTAAGGTTCTAAAGTTATGAATAAAAATGAGAACCAGCTTATGAGACACATAATAAGTCACTTCTTTTCTTTTTCAATGCCTTCTTTATACACAGGGTTATGATAAATGATGACCAGCCCTGGAGACTCTGCTTTCTGAGCTTATCTCAACCACAGGCCTGGACGGGACAAGCGTCACCTTGCTCTACCGATGAACATTGGCAGTTTGCGGTCTTTGCCATCAGTGGTTGTTTTATTCTTTGTCTGTGAAACAACAAATGGGACTGGAAAAGCAAAAGAACCCTCCATTTTTTATGAGCTAATCCTGCCTTACAAAGCTTCATAATACTTCTTTAATTCATTATACCCGAGAATGATCCTTCTATAGGTTATTCATTCTGCCTTGAAAAATGACCTTTCCAGACACGAATGCAAAGAACTATAAATAAATGGTGGCACAGGGTTGAGATTAGAGGTGATAATGGTATTATTTTTCTCACTGAGCTAGGTTGTGAGGCAGGATTCTGGTCACTGATCTTCACTTCATTCAATGTGACAGTATCCTCATCTAGAGGTGCACCTGGCACATATCAGATGTCAAATTACTTGTGCAATAAGTGAGCAAATAGCCCTTTGACATAAGTACTCTTTTCATCCCTGATTTTGAATGAGGAAATTCAAGCACAGAGAGATTGAGTAAATTGCCCAATGATACACAGATAATGAACAGCAAAATCAGGATTTGAACCCAGATAATCTATTTCAGGTCATTTGTTCTACTTCCCATTGTTTTGTATGTATCTTTCTGGGTCAGCCTCTCTTGCAATCTGTCTCACTGTCTAGGAGAGGTGGCTCCCCGAGTCTCAGTATGAATCCCATCTCACACAGCCTCTGTCTCCATCTTTTTCTCTGCATCCCTGGTTGTGTGTCCTTCAGCCTCTCCTTCTATTTGGAGTAATTGCCACACGGTGGCAGTGTTGTAGGACTTTCTCCTTAGTTCAGCTAAAAACCGGGTTCTTGTCACATAATCAGGAAAGATTAGGCCTGCGGACGCATAGAAGGGTGAGAAAAATGGAATTCATTGCGCGAAAAAGGCAAAAGAAAAACTTTCAGCAGAGTGAGAGGGAGGCCTGTTAACCTGCTTCTGCCCCACCACACAGGAACGCAAGAGGCTGGGCTCCTCCCCTCTGCAAACCACGCTAACTTCGTGGCTCCACCCCCTTTTCCCAGTGCACAGAGTGCGCAGGTGGGTCGGAGGTTTTCCGGGGAGCCCTTTTTACTCGGTTGTCTCAACAGTTTGGGGGTTTACACGTGAACTTTAATGATTTCTGGCTGGGTTACATTGGGTGGGCAGTATTTGATGAATTACTTGGCCTCTCCATTGCTATACTTTCTCTTATGTAAAATGACAATGAAAACAAGATGCAAGATGAGCCTAGAGAATCTTGTTGTGTCAAAAAGTAAGGAAGTGCTCAAAGAATGGTGAGAATCTGTCAAACAGGGAGCCAGCTTGAAGGGACTCCCTCCAGCCAAATTTGAGAACATTTGAGAATCAAACTGAATAATGATTTTAAATGATTGTTATTTACTGAATACTATAAGAATCCATTAGTCCACAATTAAAATGAATAAATGAGGGAGAAGGAAAAGACCTAACTTTCAATGAAAACGCAACTAGTTAATGTAAAAGAAATAATGAAATTAGAATGTCACCACTCGATGACTATCATAATAATAATTTCTTCAGGAAGGAATCATCAATGGGTGCTAAAACTAATCGGTGGAAGTTTAGGTGAGCAGGATATCAACATTGCCTCGAAGTGTCTTTCCCAAAGATTTACTAATGACAAAGGGTAAAACAGTAACATTACATAGAACACCAAATAGGCACCAGTAGACACTAAGTGATGGCAGCTAACACTGCCTGGAATGAGACACACCAACAACATGTGAGCCTTGACATCATGCACTGTGAACTCATCATCAGTTCTGCCATATTCCTGCCAAAGGGGTCAACCTGAATCTAATTACAAGGAAAAATCAGAAAAATTCAAATTGAAGCACATTGTAGAAATGTCTCAAGCTTTTATGACATCAATGTCATAAAATACAAAGACAGACTCAGGAACTTCTACTGGATGAAGGAAACTACAGAGAGATGACAACCGCATATTAATGTAACATGTGATCTTGGATTATCTTTTACTCTAAATTGTATCATTGGGACAATTGTTGAATATAAACATGTTCTATCAAGTGAATAGTACCATTGTATTAATATCAATTTCCTGATTTTAATCATTGCACTGTAGTCACGTAAAATAATATTCTGCTTTTAAGAAATAAACCCTGGGGTATTTATGATTAAAACATCAACAAACATAGCAAATGTTATGTTAATAATTTCAAGAAAAAATATTTGGCCAAAAATATGAATTACTTAGTAAGATACCATTCATTGAATATATTAAATCCTGTAAAACAACACTATTTATTATTTTTAATATTTCCATAAGTAGTAAAACTAGAAAACTCTGAATTGGGGAGAAAAGTAGTAAAATTAGAAAACCAAATTGGGGAGAGAGTGAATATGACTGAGGAGAAAGAAAAGATAGTAGAGTTAGGGACTACTATACCTTTTTAAATTATTTCAATTTTTTTTTTTTTTTTTTTTTTTGAGATGGAGTTTCACTCTTGTTGCCCAGGCTGGAATGCAATGGCACAATCTCGGCTCACTGCAACCTCCACTTCCCAGGTTCAAGTGATTCTCCTGCCTCAGCCTCCCGAATAGCTGGGATTACAGGCATGAGCCAACATGCCCTGCTAATTTTGTATTTTTAGCAGAGACGGGGTTTCTCCGTCTTGGTCAGGCTGGTCTCAAACTCCCGGCCTCAGGTGATCCACCAGCCTCGGCCTCCCGAAGTGCTGGGATTACAAGCATGAGCCACTGAGCCTGGCCTATTTCAATTTTTTAAAACAAGAAACAGGTGTGGTAGACTATAGAAATTTGGAAAGGCTGTTGGCTGTTCATGGGTTTCCAATATCATTTCAGGTGAATGGATAAACAAACTGTGGTATGTCCATACAGTGGAATATTATTCATCAATAAGAGGAAATGAGGCATGAAGCCACAGAAAACACGGGGAAACTTAAATGCATATTGCTAAGTGAAAGAAGGTAGTCTGAAAAGGCTGCATACTGTATGATTCCAACTGTATGACATTTTGGAAAATGCTAAACTATAAAGATAGTGGAAAGATCAGTGGTTGCCAGGAGGTAGGGTGGCAGGAAAAAGAGAAGGATGAACAGGTAGAACACAGAGGACTTTTAGGGTTAACTATTCAGTATGATCCTGTAATGATCATTGTATATTTGTCAAGACCTTTATAATGTGCAACACAAAAAGTGAACACTAATATAACTATGGACTTTAGTTAATAAAAATGCATCAATATTGTCTCATCAACTGCTGCAAATGTATCACACTATAAGGATGTATATGAGAACTCTCTGTACTTTCTGATCAATATTTTTGTAAATGTAGAACTCTAAAAGTAGTCCAGAAAATTTTAAAAAAGAGATAAAATGGAAGGTATTATCTAGAAAGTAGCACAGATATTAAAACAATGGAAAACATTTTTAAAACACTTAGAACTTGCAGGATAGGAAGAAGGCAATGTTTACAAATATAATGGCTGATAATTTCTCCGAACAAAGGGAAGATATGACTTCACAGACACAGAAAGCACAACATATTCCAAGCAGATCAAATAGAAAGCGATCTCACCAGACACACTGTAATTAATTAACAATACTAAAGACTAAAGGAAGACTTTTAAAGCAATGGGAAAGAAAAAACGAAGATTGCTGAAGAAATAACATTCAGATTGCCGTAGGTTTTTGAAACCACAAAGTGAAAGTCCAATCTGAGTAAAAGTGTATCTTCAAACTGTTGAGAGAAACATGTCAACTCAAAAGTTGATACAAAGTAAATGTCTTGGTTCATTTTCTGTTGCTATAACAGAATACCTTAGATTGGGTAATTTGTAAAGAAAATAAGTTTATTTGGCTCACAATTCTGGAGGCTGGGAAGCCCAAGGTCATGGGACTGGTTTCTGGCAAGGGTTTTTGTTCTGCATCACAACGTGGTGAAAAAGCCACAAGACAAGAGAATGTGGGTGAAAGAGGGAAGAAGAAGCAGGCTGACTGGTTTTATAACAACTCACTGTCATGAGAACTAACCCAGTTAGCCAGAACTGCATGAATCTCTTCATGAGGGCAGAGATAACCCAAATACCTTCCACCAGGTCCTATCTCCCAATCCTTCCACTTTAAGGAATTAAGGTTCCAACATGTGAACTTTTGGGGAATACACTCAAACCATTGTAGTAAATTTGTCTTTCAATAATGAGGATAAAATACAATTTAAGGGTGAGGGAAAGCAAAGCAACATTTCCACTAAAAATATTTACTATAGAATCTTTAAGTTTGTACTTGAACAACAAAATCATAACCCTAGAAGGGATAAGCTGTGATTAAAAAAATGAAAGAAAAAAAATTGGGAAACAGATAAGCCTAAGCAAATATTGCCTGTATAAAATAATAATAATAACAATAATAATAATAATAATGTCTAGTTTTGGGGGTTGAAAAAAGCCAGAACTAAAATAACAGATAAGAATAGTTTAACAGATTAGAGTAATTAGATTTAAGCTCTTTAAAAATATTGTAGCTGGGAATGATGGCTACAATAGCAGGACTTTGGGAGGCTGAGGTAGGAGGATCGCTTAAGCCCAGGAGTTTGAGACCAGCCTGGGCAACACAGTGAGATCTTGTCTCTACCAATTTTTTTTAATTAGCTGGGTGGTCCAAAATTAGCCTAAAAAAATTAGGATCATTTGAGTCCAGGAGGTCAAGGTTGCAGTGAATCCTGATGGCACCACTGCACTCCAGCCTGGGTGACAGAGCAAGATCCTGTCTCAAAATGTGCGTGTAAACATATGTTAATGCTTGGAATATGTTATAAAGTAGATTAACTTTATACTTTATGAAGTTAACTATTAATAAAATTTTGATAGTAAGCACACAAAGAATAGATAAATATACAGATTAGTAGAAGAAAAATTTTTTCACATGAGTAGATCAATAAGGGGAAAAACTAGCAAAATAAAAAATCCAATTAAAAAGACAGTAAAGAAAAAAGATAATAAAAAAGAAATAAACTCAAATGTGGGAAAAATACAAACCAAAAGACATCAGAAAAAAGTCCAAGTATATCAGTGCTGGTATAATAACAAGTTGCAGGCTAAGCAGCTTTAACCAGGAGCCACTAAACCACTAGAAACAAACCTGTAATCTGACAAAATCAGATTAATGAGTCAAGTAATGGAAGGAAGATGTTTGAGAGGAATCTTGAAATGGTAGCTCTACAGAAGAGAAGAGAGAAGTACTTTTTATAAGGTTTGAGTTC